AAATGTTTTTAAATTGTTTTTGTTCTTTATGACACATTATTCCATGTGTCGAGGTTCTATTCGCTTGTGCTAAGATTGCATTCATTTGGTGGGGTTGTATTCGTTTGTGTTGGGATTGCATTCGTTGTTTTGAGGGTTGTATGATCGTTTGTGTTGGGTATTGTATTGGTTTGTTTTGGAATGCTATTGGTTTTCTGGGGCTTTATTCGTTTATGTTGAGATTGTAATCATCTGTGTTGGGGTTGTATTGGGCACTTGCGGTTGTATCCGTTTGTATTGAGGTTGTGTTCGTTTGTGTAAAGGTTGTATTCGTTTGTGTTGGGATTGTAGTCGTTTGTGTTGGGGTTTTATTGATCATTTTGTTGCCGTCTAGAAATGGGCACATGTGGGTCGCAACGCATATAATAATGTAATATGAATGTATATAAACTGATTTACATTCAATCGTTTCTGTTTTTATTGTTTTTCTAATATTCAAGTCTACACCGGTAGTATACTCTCGTGTAATGGCTTCATTACAAATGGCGCTCGAAAGCATTCTGGCACGCGATTCGTGTGCCAATTTTAAAATTTTGATTTTGTCTTAAATTGGATATCAGAAGCCCATCTGTTCTCGGTAAAATAACAAAATCAATTTTTATTTAAATTGACCAAATAAGCCGTGTTTGCAATGTCGAAGACTGTGAATGATATTGGGTTAAAGATTTGCCTCCTTTAAGTACTTTAATAATAGTGACAATATCTGGTTGTCTTTTTTTTTTGCTGTGTATACATTGGAATGCACGTAAAAGATCCCTTGGCAGTTGGAATTCGATATAAGAGTAGGCGGTAGTGCCGCTAACCCGGGCAAAATTTCCCTCATAGCACACTGTATGGCGTATGCCCGTTTTCATTAGCCTAGGTTAGGAGCAGAACAGTAGGACGTTAAACTCCATTTCATTTCATTTCTTTTTTTGCTGTAAGTTACATTACATGTAGATTATATTGGACTAAATGACAACCCCAAAGCTATTTATGTTATACCATTGTGGGTTTTTATAGACAATCTAAATGTATATGGATGGGATCTACAAACAGAGCCCAGGTTTAACTCATTTTGTTTGTAAGGTAGCCCCATTTAGTCCGTGATCGTATCGTTTATCGATGCTGCCCATGACTTGTATGAATAATAAATATATATAACGTGACGATAATGATCATCTGTAATACTGGTCGATTACGATGTATATTGTTGTTGATCATCGGTAGCGGTTTCTGACGCCTGCTAATAATATAATGTTTGTTAATGGGGTGTCGCAGCTGATCATCTAGTATTTGTTTTTTTATTAAACAACATTTTTGTTCAGTAAATATCTGAATTCGGAATGGGGATCAGGTTATGCTTATGTCTTACCCCCTCCCCCTCTGATTAGATATTAGATACATATAGTAAATATCTGAATTAGGAATGGGGACCAGATTAGATGTTAGATACACATGTACACAGTATAAATATATTACAGTATACATAAATACATAAACACAGAACATAAAATAGGATACATATTATGGATAATATAGAGCCAGTAATGATGTGGCGTTGCTGATCACCTGGTATTTGTTAATTGGTGTGATACTGCTGATTAACTAATTAATGGTTGATAATTGTGTAAAGCTATTGATTTTCTAGTGTTTGTTAATTGGTGGTTGATACTTGTATATGTAGTCTTTGTTTATGTTGTTCATCTGTAGTGATGATTTAAAGCGTGGCGCTGCTAATCATCTGTAGTGATTGCCTATGATCATCTTCGTGTGTTTCATGTTGTGGCGCCTGCTGATCATCTTCGTGTGTGTGGGGCCTACTGATCATCTTCGTTTGTGTTTTATGGTGTAACGCCCTGCTGGTCAACTTCGTTTGTGTATAATGTCGTGGCTCCTGTTTATCATCTGGTCTTGTTTTGTATTGTTTGGTAGTGTTGGTCATATTTAGTGGTATTTAAAGTGTGATGCCTACTGGTCATCTTCTGTTTTAAATGATGGCAAGCCGTCTGGTGATCATTTATGGTATCGATTTATGATGTGAAACCACGGATTATGTTTGTTATCACATGGTACTTGCGGTGCCCATATTGGTCTATAGCAAATATATCATATTCGTGCCCATGGTTGTCTATAGTACTTATATTGTACTGGTGCCCACAGTGGTCTATTGTAATTATATTGTACTGATGGCTACAGTGGCCAATAGCAAATATATTCCACTGGTGTCAACAGTGGCCTAGACAAATATATACTATCCTCTAGTCCACAGTGGTCTACAGCAATTATATTCTACTGGTGCCCACAATGGTCTATAGAAAATATATTTTTTAAGACAAGAATATCATTGACTTTCGTTAATATTTATGTATCATACCACGTGTGAAATTGTCATTAGGTTTAGAATATATCATTCGTAATTCTATCTCTATATATTTGGTGTTCGATACTAGTTTTGCCAAATTTTGAACATTTTGAATCTTAGAGACAAAAACTGTGATAGATCATAGTATAATATATACACAATCCATAATGATGTACATCAATCTTCGGCTAATATGTAAATATTGTTTTGTATCAATATTCATTAAAAAACCTAATATGTAAATATTAAAACTGGGGAAAGTGTGAACTATTTGTGTGTCATATTTAAATGGCTAATTATAAAGATCGTACTCTTTGATTACAACCACAAACAATATGGCACTTGTTTTTGTGTACTTTGATATTATAATGATGAATCGTGTATTAATAAAATTACCCATTATTATTATCACGCTTTTAATTTCTAATATAAAGTACGATAACATCAAACAGATCAGAAGTTTGACAAAGACGTGTAAAATTTAATTCGAGACCGAAGCATGCCCACCCGACGACACACGCTAAGGGGAAGAGTAAATTAGATAACACGGTAGGTGCTCAACATCTGTGTTGGTGTTAAGGTACATTATCCTGATCAATATACTGAGATAGTGTTAACTCCCGTTTTTACCTGTGCAATATCTCACACTTACATGTGATAACTGATGAACCATATTTTGATGGAAATTATAAAATCATTTATGAAAACCGTAAGGCATTAATATGTTAGACGAATGTGGCACCGCGGATTCAAGTACATAACGATTTTTTTTTTTCGCGCTTTGTTTCCACGTGTACTTTTAAAAGAACCATTCAATACTATTGTACTGTATGATACCAATATTACATGCGCAGTTCAGTTGATCATTGCCTTTGTTATGCTCCCCTCTAATAATTTCAATATTATAATGTCAGCTAAGATAGTCAGCATTAAATGACAATAAGTTTAACACAATATTTTACCGACATTAACAATCAGCTTTTAATCATACTAATTATACTATTATATGCATATTAAAGGGACAATAACACTCTTGCTGGCTTGACAGCTCCAGAAAATAAAGAAAATAGCCTTATTCTAAGTACTAGATGTGTTAGTGTCCTACCTGTTGTGTAAATTATCCATTAAATCCTATTTTACTTGTCCAGAGGGTTCAAAAATATTTTTAAATCCAAGTCACATTTGAAAAGCTTTAATTACGTCAGGCTTTTCAAATCATTTATTTGAATTTTTCCAATTTTTTAAATTAGGTGTGTTAAGATGAAATTTGTATCATCAATTAATTGGAATATTGTAAAATAGTTCAATTTGTTGACCAGAATAAAGATTGGGACATATTATTCAGTTACAACAAGAGTGGTATTGAGCCTTTAATTTATAAATTCTAACAGTTTATGGTCCCGTACATGCAGTATTTTTGAATAATGTCCATTATTTATCTTTTGATAACGTCAAGTGCTGTACACAAACGTTATTTTTGCAGACTACCAATTTAAGAAATTGAGTTAAAAACGTTGTATTTGAGAACCGAAGAGATTTGTAAGAATTAATGAGTTAGATGACACACAATAGAATGAACGCGGTGGGTTTGTATAAATTAATAATAACAATCCTACTTTGAGGACAATTTAATGACTGCTTATACCAATACATGTACATAAATATAAGGTTATGAACAATATATATTCCATAAAGTATACAGTTCACAAATTACATATTTCATAAAGTACAAAATATTCAATATCCCTTTCAGAGTAATTTTGTGTGATATTCTTATTGTATTAGGGAAATACGGTTGGCAGATAAAGATGGTTAATTATACCATATATGGTCAAGTTAAATGATAAACAATGGCCAGATCTCGAATACAAAGCACGTGCATTCTCTTATATCTTGACTCGAGTATATTCTGATGAGTAAATTCGCCTGTGGTATGTAATAGATATCAGACCATGTATACGTATATATGAGTCAGAATGATTTCACACATCACGGTTAACGATATACAAGACGCTGAAGGCTATATATTAGTTGAAGTATAATTTTGGTAGATTTCATACATTATAGGTAATATAATATAAAATGAAATATGCAGTATCGTGACGTTCTCGTTCTATTATCATGATTGCGTGGTCGTTTGGTGTTAACATGTGGTATACCCTGACCACCTAAATGTTGTAGTCTCGCCGTCAGATACAAAAATTCTTGCTCTGATAAACAAAACAATTAAGAAAGTCGGGGCTACGTGACAAGCTCTCTTATCGCACTTCTTGGCACAATGTTGATAATAAATTGTTTTATTTACAACATATACGCAATTTCATTGGCCCGGGTTTCTGCTACGTCAAGCCAATCACGGGACCGCATTTACCTGAATAGTATTTCTTAGAAAAGTCCCGTAAAATCATATGGTAGCCATGACCTTTCATTCAAGGGTCATATTGCTCTAACTTTATTAAATCACTATATTTTGTTTAAAATTAAAATTATTTAGCTTTATTTTGAATTTTTGCTCGTTTTCATCAATGAATAACTACGTAAATAATCATTTGCGCAGCTAAACCACTCTTGACCTATATCCACACATAAATCGAGTTCATAAACACGACAACTAATGATGTTTGCTTGGAAATGAGGTCATGTGACCAATTCCGAGAAAGCTGGCCATCTAGCCTATAAATATAGGGCACGTGGTGTACACTACTTTAGTTTTCATCTAAACGGTGAAGGATAAGCACGTAAATGAAAGGAGGTGAGTATTCACATTTTTACTTACCAATTATACAATTAAACTTATACAAACAAGAATCGAAAGCAAAAGGTTTTATTGGGTTTTTCTTTTGGTATTTTGTTTGTTTAAATTTAAATTCACTGTTTCTACTACCGGTCAACAATTGTGCGTCAATTTGATATTCTTAACTTTGATGTTTTCATTCATATTTGTAGAATATGAGAATATATGAATATATTTATTGGCTAAGGATGATTATCAATAATTCTTGCTAATTAATTGAAGACATTTTCATTCAGGTTTGAAAATGAAACAAGTTGATCATAAATGTATCCTCTTATGTTGCAAACTAAACTCATTACTTTTCAATATTCAAAATAGTTTTAAATTTTAACAATTTTATATTTAATGTTATCTTATATCTTTCAGAATTTGAAATAATCGAGCGCTATTTAAGCCTCTGTGACACTATGATGGAAAACGATCCTGATACCGTGGCATGGGACATAGATCAAACAGTAAGTGGTGTTTGTGATACCTCTAAAATCATTCATTAATATATTATTTTATAATTGTCAACATAGAACATCTTATTCTTCCAAATAGTCCTTTCATTAAAATGTAATGAACAAAGATTTAATTAATACGTGCATATGATTTAATTAGTTTTTTTTATTTTCCAATTAAAGGTTCCACAGTATACCAGCCCGAATCATATGATGAACAGTGGAATGGATTTCAACGCTTTATTGAAATCTGACGAAAGTTTAAATTTGTTTCCTTCATCTAATGAAGAAATGAAATCATCACCTACTTATATCACTGATGTCTCTGAACAACAAATCAACATAGAGGATGGTAGTAAGCATTTTTTAGATTTAGATCAGGTTCTCCATGATAATTCTGTGTCAAATCTCAATATGAAACCTGCGACCGACGACTTAAGACCCAGCCAGTCCAGACGGGAACATGATTTCTGGGAAGAAGAATGTTTACAACAGTGTATGGATATAGAAACGATGCTGATCTCACAAGTTAAAAACGACATATGCAACGAAGCTAGGAGTCTTGGCATCAGTCTTGGTGAGTATTTATTTTGAATAATAAATTAAATTCATGCATTTATTTAACATAATGAGTAATAATAATTATTGTATTTTGGTTAGTTAAATGTATAATTTATCTTAATCTTTTATTTGTAATTTAATATCAATTAACTTTATTTAACATTATCCATTTTGGTTTGTTAAATATATAATTAATCTGAATTATTATTTTTATTTTTAAGATCCAACACAATGGAATGTTAAAAATGTCATACGGTGGATTGACTGGCACTGTGTTAAGAATAATCTTCAACCTAAACCCAACCCGTTATATTTTGAAATGAACGGAGTTAGTTTATGTATGCTGTCTGAACAAGATTTTAATTGGAAATATCCAGAAGGGGGTTCCGTCCTATTTTCCCAGTTGGAAATCTGGAGAAATGGTAAGACAATTTATACATTTTAATAACACTTTTGAACAGTTAACACGAGTAGAAGATATACAGATCTTGTGTAATGAGAAAAGGCATGTCTTCAATAACGACCTTCACCTTCAAACGACGTTTAATTAATTTATTGTCGTATTTATCTGCGTTGTTATTTAATGTGTAGAAATGTTTTAATGCACTTCGACTATAAAATGTAGCAACAATAAATATGTGAAGTACTATCAATATTTGTTTGTTATGAATTGTTAATATTTAAATTTTATTATAATATTGTAATGTTTGATTTTATTTTTCTATTTCAGCATGTAAATTAGTTGTACCTAATATTCCTAAACCGGCACAGTTAGAAGAGTCTAATGGTATCGAGTATTATAATTCACCCTGTGGTTCCCCTGCACCAAGCGTAGAAAGTCATGATAGTAATTTAAGTTCTAGTCCCACGAATTCTTCAGATGAATCATATTCATGTAAAGGTAAGTTTCGCTGTTTTAAAAAGATATACAATACACATAACGATATACAATACGCATAAAGAAGTGTAATGTAAATAAAAATAAAAACACAAAAAAAACATTTTTTTGTGTTCATTTTTTTGTGTTTCCCTCCAATATTTATTAGTTTGTTGACTTGTTCATACAAACAAATATTTATGATCTTATAAACGCTCCCGTCTAGATCAGCGACCCCCCTTTACATGTCATATTGACATTTAAACATTCTTGTCATGATGACCTTATCAAACTATAAGTATACTTCATTTTATATGTATTTATTGTTTATTTCTTTTCTTCTTCAGGTCCACCGAAAACTACATGTGCCAGACCCATCATGCATGAACATAAACAAACCATTCACTTGTGGCAATTTTTAAAAGAACTTTTAAAACAAACTGATAAATTCGGTAGCTGTATTAAGTGGATAGATAGATCTAAGGGTATATTTAAAATAGAGGATTCATCACGTGTAGCTAGAGAATGGGGAAAAAGAAAAAATCGTCCAGCAATGAACTATGATAAACTCAGTCGTTCTATCCGACAATATTATCGTAAAGGCATAATAAAGAAGACAGAGCACGCGAAGAGATTAGTGTATCAGTTCTGTACGCCCTATTTATAGAATATATTATTTCCGTACCTTGGTTTTTAATATTTGTAAACCCAATCGAATAATTGGGGTGTATTTTCACCGTCTTCTCTTCACGTCGAAGTAGCTGATACAGCGGTTTTGTGGAGGCGATAATCCAGATCTCGAGTGAAACTAAATATGTTGTATGGTAAAGAAGACTATGGAGATAGCGGAGGTTGGATGTCGAAATTTTTGGTCTCGATTGACCAGTATGAAACTAGTTTGTTGGATTTGTTAGCGGCGTAAAAATTACGTCATATTGTTTGTCAAATTTTGACGATAGGCGTTGACCAAAATGAAGCGTTTTGTTGATAACATAAGGCAGCAATAACTTGTTATTTTTTATTTTGTATATATGTCACTCATTTTGCATTTACATTATCTACATCTCAAGAAACAGTAACATCGTTACATTAGAGATTTTAAAGAAGCCCAATAGGAGCAGAAAAGCTGGATGTTAAGTCCCATTTCATTTCATTTTGTTAAAGAAAATGTTTTAGCAAATAGTTTATCGATTACGTTAGAGATTTTAAATAAGCATAGTAGGGGCAGAACAGTAGGACGTAAAACCCCATTTCATTTCATTCTATTTAAAGAACATGTTTTAGCAAATAATTTATCAATTTGGAATTAACAAAACATATCTTTAGTCACATAATCAACTATTTATCATTGTATATGCATTTTATTCTTTCTTATAAAGAAATCAATTTATTTATGTCTCTTACCGCATGATGCTTTTTTTAACAGTTTGTATTATTTCTCCTAAAAGGAGAATTTGTGATATTTGTAAATAATATATTTTTTTATTAAAAAAATACATAATAACGACTTGTGTGTTAGTTGTATGTCACTTTTGAAACAATGGGTGAAATGGGAAATGGTTTAGGCAACAGCTTGGACAATACAACATTACCTACTATCCTCTTAAATATAATTTGGGAATGGTGAATCCAGGAGCAAATGGTTCAGTCTGTCGGGCTAATAAGGACGGGAAAGCGAAAATCATACCCAGGGGCGTACATAAAGATTTTTGTTTTTGGCGGGGGGGGGGGGGTATTTAGCAAAAATGCGACCGACTGATGTACATGTCCCTAATACGAGTGACGAAGTAAGGGGCCAAGCACCATAGATGATAGTTTTCTAGGGACCAGTAGCTGATCTGGAAGCTAGGAATAGGGGATGAGGTGGGGTGGTTCCAAATCTAAGGCGCCACACCCCACAATGATGTCAACAAAATACTGGCTATAACACTGGGCGTCCCGGTAAAACATAGATCGTATTGCTTGTAGTTGTCTCGTCGGAAAGCGGTTTTATTCAAGCTGACATAAAGTATATGTGATATAATATGATGATTGTTATTGATTTTGTAATTAAATTTATGTGAACCTTAGCGGCAGTGGCTATAACACTGAGCAACCTGAGAAAATTTTGAAAAATTGAACCAATATCCTGGCACTTGAGGTCATAGCTGGGAGCAAATTCTTGTGAACAAGAGAACCAGAAATGGGAGTCAATGAGACGCTAGTGATACTACTGACCGGGCAATTCACTGTAACTGTGAATATAATAAGACAGAGGAGTTGAAGAATAATGACACAAAGAATTAAGAGCCGTAGGCGCGAAAATGTTTTAGATTATAATTATGTAACTGAGCTTTTAATTTTTTGGGACGGCCTGAGGGGACTTTGTCTAACGGGAGCGCTTACTTGGTCTCTGAAATGCCATTAACTGGACTTTGGGATCTGGGGAAAGGTTTTGCAGAATTCTGATGATCAGAAAATACTTACAACATGAGTAAAATACGTTTTAATTTCTACTGGGATTAAATATGCAATAAGTAAAAATTCTTAAGTTCAATAGATCGCCTTAACATTTCATAATTTAAAGATTTTTTTACGTATTTCTGAAACAAACTAGGCTTCCAATAACTTCTTACCAACTGTTCGACTAACGTTATTCGTATGACAATCAATAATATAATTTAAGTTATCAAAATCTTCGTAACAAGCTCTCTCAATTTCTTAGAACATACTCATAACAGGGATTTTTTTTTCAAACGCATGAAAAGTTGACTAGGTTATTTTATACTATACCGTTGTAATTTAGGTGTACGCATTCACACAAATTTTCTTCCTTCTATTTTGGCATTGTTTACCTCATTAATTCATTTATTCTGAGACCGACTGCAGTCGGCACTTTTTTTGAGACTGACTATGTGACGTAAGAAAATTAGGTGCACGTATATTAAGTATTTTAGGTTTTTCTCTTCTATTCTGGCATTATTTGTTTACCTCATTAATTCATTTCGTCAGTCGCCGATGCATAATTTTGAGACCGACTGCAGTGACGGCACTTATTTTGAGACCGACTACTTTTCTCCCTGGGGGATTTTTTTTTTTTACTTAGACCAACTCACAACAGAATAAGGGTAAAAAAACAAGATGACAAGATTAATTTATACTAAAGTTTTGGGTATGGAGTGTAACGTATGGAATTTAGATGCACGCAAATACATAAAATTTGGGATTTTTCCTTCTGTTTTGGCATTGTTTGTATTAATTCGGTGAGCACTTATTTTGAGATCGACTGCACTTATTTTGCGACCGACTGCATTTATTTTGCGACGGACTATTTTTTTCGTTGGGGGTGGGGGTGGGGGGTCCCCACATTTACACCCCTGATCATACCCCTAAACAAACAAGCCACCGTCGTTACCAGATGTAGAATGAATAAAAGGAAGATCATTTTCATTACGCTATCTTTGGTCATCTGTTGATCGAAATAGGATAGAAATTCAACGTATATTGCAATATTTTACACTTAACCATAAATACATAGTTATAAAAACTTTTGTTGTCAACATTACAAGGGTGTGACAATACCTTTTCAAAACATGCAAGCAATTACTTTACGTTAACTGTGCTGTGCATAATTTGGGTTGAGTCGACCTGGTCTTCTGGCTCGGACGATGATGCTCTTGGGTCTTTATTATTTTTTTATTAAACTATTCATGTTTTTACAGGTTTGGGGGTCTTTTTTTATCCAACCAAAATCTAGATTCAAGTTCAAACTTGTATCTAGACCTAACAAAGAGAATATTTTTATTATTAAATTTGCATATATTGCCCGAATGGTCTTACGCGCATGCTTTGGATCATCGACAGGTCGTGGGTTCGATGTCGCTGTTTGGATGGGACGAAAAACATAGAAGAACCCTTAACAGTTGGGATTTGAAATAACAGTAGTAGTCCGGGAAAAATGTCCTCATAACACATTGTATGGCATATGCCCGACTGGTGATGGCACTACTATAGGAAATAATAAGATATTATAAGGTTGTACCTCATCAACAAGTCTATACACAACAGTACAAATATAATTCACAAATCATGCAAATTTATATTAATTAATTATTTATTCTGTTTCATTAGGTGGCGTGATCAGTTTGCTGTAGATTTAAACCGGTTGTTCTTGACCTTCGAAATATGATAAATAAAATGTCACGATATCTTTTCTACCCGGTACATCTAGGGGTGGAGTTCGCCAGGGGTCTAAATATAGTTATGTTAATGTGCGAAGGCGAATTTCTATTCTTTTAACGACGATTGTCACCACAATATTTGTCTCGTCATATCCTGGTATGATTAGCATATATTCAAATAAATCTTCTGGTTTATCGTGTACATCTTAATGTAATTTGATACATCTAATATGGACGTTTTAACACAATTTAGTCACAGAGGTCGTCTGAGTTGTGAATACCATACACCCACTAAGTTCATTAAACGTACTGGTAAAATAATACAGGTAAGCATATATGTTTAAAGGGCCAATCCAGATAATATTTTGTCGAATAAAACTGCTTAATTTTGTGTTAAAATCCCTTAAAATCTTTTACCTAGGGCCGAGCAACTAACTCAATATATGTGATACGTTTCCAAAAAACTTAAAATCGTCAGTCTTCATCTGGAAATGGAGACCAGGCTGTATTATGCGGTGTCTGGATAAACCCAGACATTTATTTTATAAAAATAATGTGTAGGTGAAATTTACCTTTCGTTATCAAGTACAGTACATGGGTCATTTACTACACATTCGGCAAACCTCGACAGATTCTACGCATCTAATCTCGACTGTGTGACCATTTCCGCCATATTTGAACTATTTTAAAGGTTCCGAATGAAAAATGGCTGCCCCCATGGAGATTTCTGTCGAGAGTGTATTATATCAACAAACGTCACGTTTGGCATTGGGTTTGGGGAATTACCAGGGAATTTTATCAAACCAGCAGCCTTGAGACAATATCTCTGCTCATTTAGGTATATACACTCTACAAAAGACGCAATTTGGGACTTTTTTGTAAAAGCGACACGTTTTCCTGTTTAAAGTAAACCGGCAGCCGCATCGCAAATGTATGGGCGTAGGTACATATCACTTACTGTCATACAGCCGAGATTAGATGTAGGGTAACGGAATCTGTCGAGATTTGCCGAGTGATTAACTACATAGATCTCTTAAGGAACGCGAATCGATTATCAGGTCCCCCAACGAAAAAATTGACCCGAAATCTTAAAAGGGTTACGTGTCCGGATAAGCAGTTTTGACGTTCACGTCCAAACGACTCAATATTTTAAACTGAAATTTTGAGACAAGGTAGATAAACCATTCCTCTATATTTTGGCGCTTAAATTTCATACGTACTCAGACTTTTATTTTTGAGACTTTGTTCAAATCGGAATAGTCCCTTTAAGTGTAAAGTGACACATACAACTAAAACATGCAAATTAGTTGTTTTTGTTTTAAATAAAGATAACAGTATTTACAAATATCACCAATTCTCCTTTTCGGTGAAGTTTAAAAAAAAAGCATTATGTAGTAAGATAACAGATAAATTGCTTTAGTTATAAAAAAAAGCATAAAATGCATATACAATTGTGGTATGGGGGTGGGGGTGAGGTAATTTCAAGTCTAGCATGTTATGTTCAAGTTAACTAATATGTTTGCTTCGAAGGGTCAACGTGCAACCCTACGTTTTGTCGCATAGGTCTACAAGCAACACATCTTATAATATACAACATGAATTATTTTAAAATACCCCTCCCCAAAACCGTCATCTCTATCGATTCATACTAATATATAATACAGGAAACTGAAATGACATGGGGTTTAACGCCCCCCTGTTCTGCTTCGACTGGGCTAATGAAGAAGGGCATACCGTGTGCTATGAGGGAAATTTTGCTCGGGCAGCGGTACTATGCAATACTCTTATATCGAATTCCAACTGCCAAGGGATGTTATACACGGGACCTCGGTCCTCGTCCATGTCAGACCCTCCGTCCAGCACCACTGACAAGGGAAAACCACGTCGGAAAATCCCAATGAACATGGGGGAAACTACACACAGTACAGTAGATACTAGTATACATTTACAGCGTGTAATTTTGAACAAAGTTCTTAACTCAAACGTAAAAGTGACTTAATTCAGAAAGCCACTCGAACCTTGCGTTCCACAAAATATGAGAAAGAAAATGTGTTGTAGCACACACCAACGACTTAGTCTAGTGGAGAAGAAAAAAACAGCGACGCGAAAGCACCCACAACCCCTTCTCCCTCACGCTGGGTGGATAGGTTGACTTGTAGATCGCCATGAATGTAGTAAGGGAGGTTACTCTGTTAATCAGTGATACACAGTAGACAGCTATGTACGATTCTTTTTTTAAATTGCTATTTATTGCAAAGTTTTGGTGAATAGTCATGATTTTAAGTTGGTAGGGTCAGAAGGTTGATTTGACCACGTGTAATAAATGATCGACATGCCGAACGCCCAA